TAGAAATAGTTTAAAATATCCTGATGGGCAAACAGATGCTTGGATTAAAAATGTAAATTATTATCGTCTGGATGGTAGTACTAGCGCTTTAGAAAGAGAAAAACTCATTAATGAATTTAATAATAATCCAAAAATTCATCTGTTTCTTGTTTCAACACGTGCTGGTTCACTCGGTATTAATCTTGTTGGCGCTAATCGTGCCATTGTATTTGATGCTTCTTGGAATCCTTGTCACGATACACAAGCTGTCTGTAGAGTGTATAGATATGGGCAACAGAAACCTTGCTTTGTTTATCGTTTAGTTACTGACAATTGTTTAGAAAGAAAAATATATGATAGACAAATTAGTAAACAAGGAATGGCAGATCGCGTAGTTGATCAATGCAATCCAGATGCCCATCTTTCTTTGAAAGAAGCAACTACATTATCTTGGGATTGGGAAGAAGATAGTCAAGTACAAGATTTCTCTCAAACAAAAGATAGTTATTCTGATGAAGTTATGCATCGTGTATTAGAACGTCATTCTTCATTATTAACAAAACAGCCTTTTCATCATGAAAGTCTTTTGGTCGATAGAAAAGATAAAAAACTTAGTCAAGCTGAAAAACGATTAGCTCGTCGTGGTTATGAACTTGAAAAAATGGCAGCCAATTGTTCCAGACCCAGTTATAATTATGTTCCTGGAAATACTGCTACACGGGGTACGATTCTTTCCAAAATTCAATTATTCAAAACATATTTAAGTAATAAAAAATATAATAATTTATAATAAAAATATATGTATTTCTTATATTATATTATTGTAGCAGGTGGATTACAAATTCGAGCAATTCGAGGTGGTGATAATAGTACTACTTCTAAACCAGTTGCTTCGGTTAGACCAATGCAACAACGTGGTGCTGAAGGTTTGGGATCGCGTAGTGTGACGGGAAGTCGTTGGATACCAGCAGAAGTATGGCAAAGACAAGGAATGAGTGCACAAGAAATGACATTACCATTAGATGTTGTTATTCCTACAAATTCGCCTGATAAAGGCAGTATTGTATTGAAAGCTGGTCAACGAGTAATGGTACTAAAAAGTCCAAAAGGCATTTATATGCAATTAGAATCGGGTAAAATTATTGCTATTCGAACGGCTCTTAAATTGAATCAACAAAAACGAGAGAACGAAGAACCTAAGAAAGGTATATTAATTTAATAATTTTGATTTTATGCATAATTATTTTTTAATTGAAACAAAATTTTTTTATTGAAATATTTATTAGGCGTATCATCAATGACGCAAAGAAATTCAAAACCAGAAGTTGGATTTCCATTAAGAAATAACTCAGCCATATCTATAATACCAAAATCATCTTCAAGTAATCAAGCAAGTGGACGTTCGATTAATAAACCAGGAAATGGACCTAATTATAGGCCATTTGCTGACAAGGAAACTTCAAAAAGACCAAAACCTGTTGCTACAGCAACTGCTAAACCATATTTGAGTCAAGTTAATTTAACTAATCAAGTTTCTCTATCAAGATTACCAAAAGTAAAACAGGAACCAGTAGATCATTCGACACTCGGAGAAAATTCAAATTCTTCGGATGGTCAAGTTAGAACTGAACAAAGAGTAGAAGAAGTCAGATTGGAGGATGTGGTTGCGGAAGTAAGTTCGAATACAGATTATAGTCCTCCTAATCATAACCGTGTAAGCAATTCAGATACCGATACTGCTCTACAAAAATCATCTGAGGAAAATAGTCAAGTATATACTTCGGATTCTGTAACTGCACAAAGTGTTCAAACGCAACATGATCAAGAAACGGAATTAACATCAAAAATAGATAAACAATGTTCTCCTCCAATTGAGAAGGAAATCATGAAAACAACTGATACATTAACAAATTATAGTCATACTTTTCAAAATCAACAAGAAAAAAGAGATACATCTAATGATGAAATTATAATTGAAGATTCATCGCCGGTATCCTCTCAAATTCAATCGCAAATATCATCACAAATACCGTCACAAGTATCTCCACAAGTACAAGTATCACAGCCAATATCATCTCAGATACCATCTCAAGTACAATCGCAAATATTATCTCAGATACCATCGCAATTACCATCACAGATATCATCACAGATATCTTCTCAGTTATCATCACAAGGACCACCACAAATACCACCTCAAGCATCACCACAAATTGTAACACAATCAACACCATCTGGTCCACTACAACCATTGTTAGCGCAACAATCTACACCATCGACTATGCAAATACCACCAACATCTACGTTACGAGGTACAGAAGTTCCTAAAGATATAACAGATTCAACTATTGGCTCCTCTACTACATCTATATGTACTGGAACAAATACTATGACATCTCCGAAAACAGCAGAGTCAAATATGCGTGAAACTTCTATACAAAGCGAACCTCCTAATGTTACCCCACAAGGTTACCCTTATGCTCAGTATCCACGATATTATGATTATAGTGATCCTCGATCACGATCATTGTCTACTCCTTATGGTACATATTTCCCTGGTGTTCCACCTCATGCAGCAAATCCTAGATTACCAATGGATTCTACAAAAACTCAACCAGACTTAGGAAAATCTATAGAAGAAAGGACAATGATGAATGTGCCTCCTGCATATTCACAAGTACCTAATACTACTGCCAAAACATTAGCAAATACCACAGAAACGAAAGGTGCAGAAGCAATGGTTACTACAACAGTAGCTACTACTCCTACTAGAGATGAAGCGCACATACCCACTGCGTTTAGTCATCCTACGAGTAGTCGTTATCCTGGACCTTATCCACCAGGACCGTATGATCCATATTCACAACATTATCCTCCAACACCCGGTTCATCAGCAACTTATCCACCAGGTGGTAAGTTAAAAAAAATTTTTTTTCATCTATTTTTCATTTATAAAATAAATATGTGTTGAAATTAAATTTATGAAGTAGGTGCTCCTGGATATCCAGCATATGGTGGACCGAGTTATAATACGGAATATGCTCGTATGTATACAGCGTTTCATGGTCCTCCTCCACCAGCAGATCCTTATATACATAGAGGTTATGCACCCCCTTCTTCGCATCCGCCTAATTATTATCCTCCATTCCCACATCCACCGCCTCCTTATCCGAATTATTCCTTTTTATCACCATATCCAAATCCCAATATGCCTAGCGAGCCACAACCACCTGCTCAGTAGGAAACTTAAGTGGTATTACGAAAAAATGATTAGTTTAATAATTTCATAAAATGTCGCATATTGCGAAAGTTCAAAGGCTGTCGCGATTCAGAAGCTTAATAGACTGAAGCTGTAAAACGCATTGATGTAAATATTTAGTCACAAGTATTGTATTAAGATAATAAATTTGCGCAGGTACTTTTTTTTTTAAAGTACCATTTATGTCATTATGGAAGGAGATTAGATAATCTCAATTAACTTTGAACTGTGCAATTTGTTGAAATGTTCAGAATATTTAGCCTTGACTGTCATGCCGTTTTACGATGCGTTTATTCGAGTAAATAACATGTTAGTGGTTACGAGTATAAATAATTTCTCGATTTAATATTCCATAGTTTCATGGAAGTATTTATATTTTTTATAGCTTATATGGATATTTTGATTTTACGAATTTTAAGTAAGAATTCTTAAAGTACAATTATAGCATTTGGAAATATTTTTGACTAGCATTTCTTATTTATTTTTATTATTTTTAATGACATAAAGATTAATGAACACAAATGATACTAGGAATATTGAATGAGAAATAATTTTGTACATTTTAAATGAATAATATAAAGAAGAAAGGAATGCTGTATACTATCATTTAGCTTTATGCATAAATGCTATATTAATCTCATTTTTATATTTTGCAATGAAAAAAAAAGAGAAAACATTTGACTAATCACATTTTGATTAATCATAATACTCAGAAACATGAATTATAAGAAAAGAACAAAAATATATGCATAAAATTTTATACATCAGCATTCCATCTTCGGTTTTATATGTACTGAAAATATCAATATACATCATTTTCTAAAATCGATTGAATTTTCGTTTTGTTAATTTTAGGAGAGTGATGGATATTTCTACATTATTTATAAAATGATATTATTTAAAAAATTGTTTAAAAAAATAATATCTTTTAAATAATAATATATTTATATGATCTTAGAATTTAATATTTTTAATATATTTTGATTAAACTATTATATAAATATATAATGATATTTTTTTATTGTATAATTATTATATTATTCATACATCACTCTTCTGCGGAAATAAATGATAGTCTGCGCATCGTTATTTCGGTTTCTATAACTTCAATAATTAATCTTTAAACAATAAAATTAAACTCACCAACATTTACACCATATGCTCTGAATCTATATATCACCTCTGACTTTTTACATACATACATTAACATACAGTATTCACTTGGAACATTTAGCAGCCAGTATACAGTTTACAGCATCCTTAGCAAGTTGTATATGACTATGTATTACTATTAAACGTTACAATTTCTGAAATAGATAATCTCATAGTAGAATGTAGGATTGTTGTTAACTAGGATGTCTTACAGTTCATGACTGTCTTGAAATATGAATAAAAGAAGGATAGGGAGAACCATGATTTTCAAAAGCGAATTTTCAAACTCGGAACTGTGATATTTTGTCATATTCTCGTGTAACATTTTTGCTTGTATATTTTTTGGTTAGAATCGAAGTTTAACTTCGATTTTTGCATAAAATTGGTAGAAATGAAAATTATGATTGCGGGTGTCGATGTATTGAATTCAAATTATGCATTTATGTTAATGTAAATTAATTGACAAGAAAAGCACGAGATTTTTAATCAATTTTCCAAATGGGATATCGAACCGCATATGTGTTTATCATGGTACTCCCTTTAAACATATAGGAAAATTATTATAGAAAATAAGCATTCATGCTGAATACTATTATAGTATGTGTTTTTCATTGAATCTGTCACATGTTTGCTGCGAAAGATACATTGGTATCTTACATGTTGGTACGTGTTGTGGATTGTACGTTTTTTAGGTTTTAAGTGTACAGGTTTGACATAACACGAATATTATCGTGAGATGTATTTTTGCAAACAAGCGACAGAATCTATTGCAAATACATACGAGATTATATTTACAAAAAATAAAACAATTATTTTGTCTCTGTTATAGCTTTTTTGCCATTTACATACTTGTAAATACCCATTATTTACATTTCATACTTTATTTATTACTATACATTATCCATTCTTATCGCTTTTTTGATGTCAGAGTATTGATCTTATGTAAAATAAATTGTTTACACTGATCAAAATTGTTTTTGATTGTAGTATTGTTGCAGAGAAATTGAAGCATTATATATATATATATATATATCATATATATAATTGTTTGTATGACGTTTATCTTTACGTCTGACCAATTGTTTGACTTGAAATTAATGTATGATGCATGTAGATGCGTAGGATAAAAACTTAATACTTATATGTCAAAAAAGTTAAGGTTGTAATTAAGAAATGAATCTATCTATACAAATTTCAATATACTTGTGGTAGCACGGATAAAACGTTCTTGATTACACATTTTTCTCTATGCATATTATGTGATTTAATGTGTCACTCACACACACACTCATTCTCCCACACACACACACACACACACACTCATTCTCCCACACACACACACACACACACACGCACACACACCTCAAACAGTATACACACAAGCTGGGTTTATTGAAAAGTTATAATTAATAAATAACTTTGTAGAAGAAGATCTAATATTTTTTTTTATAAATCATTTTTTTCTGATTGTAATTTTTCTATAAACCATGCTACAGTGTACAAAGAAAATAAAATCGTTCGAAATTAAGAGACATAATTTTTTTGTAACAGATAAGTTAGTTTGATAACACTATATTAATTTAATAAAAAAAAATAAACTTATATTTGCGTATGCGCGTCATATTGTGTATTTTTTATTTTTTTCATTCTACATAATGTTATTTGTTTTGAAATATATTCTTTATGAAAAAAATATAAGAATACCGTTATAGATAAAAATGGTTTTTATTTATATTATTGGTGCTATCATAAAAATATAAAAATAAATAAAAAAAAATATATATATATATCGTATTTATAAAAATTATTATTATTTAATATTATTTATTTTTACGTTTATATGAAATTATATCATGCAAAATATAATTAATTGATATTTAATAATGAAAAATTTCTTCTATTTTATTTTTTTCACTTTAAAGTTTCATAAAATAATTTTAAATATCATCAATTTTACCGCCGACAGTATTGTATTATTCAAAACCAAGATCCAAGAGATAGTTTCAAGTAAGTGGAATCATAGTCGATTTGAAAGTTAGTACAGTGGAAAGTAACGTAAATGCAGTTTATCTCGTGTAACTTACGACTTGTTTGCAAAAAAGTCACACATACTATATGCAAACATAATACAATTTATAAACAGTTGCTTCGAAAATTTACTGTCACTGCTAGGTTAACTGATTTCAGTAAGTGGGGTACGAAAAAAAAGGATCGTAAAGTGAAAATACAAATTTTACAGGATATGTCGGATCCAAAGATTGAAGAAATCTTGTCTCCTCTTCGAGATAGTGTAAAGGAACAGGTAAATGCCATATGGATAATCATTATTTATTATTAAATATATTTAAAGATATAATATATTTTATATTTTGTCATCACAAAGATCATAGACATGTGATCTTTCTATCGTATAGATAGATCTTTCTATCAATAACATTATTAAATTTAAAAATTTTTTATTATTATATATGTAAATAAATTGTTAAATATTAATTTTATTTTTATTGATATTATATTATTTGATTATTTTATATATTTCTAGGGTGACTATGTGCGAAAACTTAAATTTGATGGAGCTCCAGAATTGGACATTAAAAAAGCAGTTGTTGAGCTTAAACTTCGAAAAAAATTGTTAGAAGAGAAAGAATTGTCTTTTTTAGAAACAATAACATTTGATAGAGCAAGAATGGAAGATCTCTTGAAGCGTAGATTTTTTTATGATCAATCCTTTGCTATTTATGGAGGAATTAGTGGTCAATTTGATCTTGGTCCTATGGGTTGTGCATTAAAAACAATTTATTAAATACATGGAGAAGTTTTTTTATATTAGAAGAACAAATGTTAGAAGTAGATTGTTCTATTTTAACACCAGAACCTGTATTGGAAGCATCTGGACATGTAGAAAGATTTGCAGATTTAATGGTAAAAGATGTGAAAACAGGAGAATGTTTTAGATTAGATCATTTGATTAAATCATATTTAGAAAAAGTGATTAGTGATAAAAAGATAAATGAAAATACAAAAGTAGAATGTAAAAATATTATTATTAGATTAGATGGAATGACTAAGGATGAAATGGCTACAATTTTGTCTAAATTCAACATAAAATCCCCAATTACTGGAAATGATCTAACAGAACCAATAGAATTTAATTTAATGTTTGGAACTCAAATTGGTCCTTCTGGACTTGTGAAAGGATTTTTAAGACCAGAAACTGCTCAGGGTATTTTTGTAAATTTTAAACGATTACTTGCATTTAATCAAGATAAGTTACCATTTGCTGCAGCTCAAATTGGAAATGCATTCCGTAATGAAATTTCTCCTAGATCTGGTCTATTAAGAGTAAGAGAATTTACTATGGCAGAAATAGAACATTTTTGTGATCCTAATAATAAAAGTCATCCCAAATTTGAAACTGTAAAAGATCTAAGTGTATTGTTACATTCTGCTTGTAATCAAATGGATGGAAAGAGTGCACAGCATATGACTTTAGGTGATGCTGTGTTAAGTAAACTTATAGCTAATGAAACATTAGGATATTTTATGGGTAGAATTTATTTATTTTTAATTAAAGTTGGAATTGATCCGAAAAAATTACGTTTTCGTCAACATATGGGAAATGAAATGGCTCATTATGCATGTGATTGTTGGGATGCTGAATGTTTAACTTCTTATGGTTGGATAGAATGTGTTGGCTGTGCAGATCGTTCTGCTTATGATCTTACACAACATACAAAAGCTACTGGAGTAAAATTAGTAGCAGAAAAAAAATTGCCAGCACCAAAAAATGTTGATGTATGTGAAATAGTATCAAATAAAGTTATCATTGGAAAAATGTTTAAAAAAGATAGTAAATTAGTACAAGATGCTTTAGCAGCATTAACTGAGAATAATATTAATGCTATAGAAACTGAAATAAATGAAAGTGGAGAAACTGAATTAAGACTTTCAAATGGTTCCATAGTAAAAATTACGAAAAATATGATCGAAGTAAAACGATATCAAAAAACTGTACATGTAGAAGAAATAATTCCTTCTGTAATTGAACCATCCTTTGGTATTGGTCGTATTATGTATGCTATTTTTGAACATAACTTTAAAGCAAGAGAAGGAGACGAAAAACGAACTTATTTCAGTTTACCACCAGTTGTGGCTCCTTTAAAATGTTCGGTATTACCGCTTAGTGGTAATAACGAATTTGTACCATTTGTAAAACAGTTGTGTATGTATAATGATTTTTTTAAATTTGTTGAACTTTTTAAAAATTGAAATTTATAATATATTTTAAATATTGCTTACTATGTATAGCTCAGAATCTTACAAAAGTAGATGTTTCGCATAAAGTAGACGATTCTTCTGGTAGTATTGGACGTAGATACGCTCGAACGGATGAAATTGCAATACCATTTGGTATTACTATCGATTTTGATACTTTAAAAACTCCTCATACTGCTACACTCCGTGAACGAGATAGTATGGGACAAGTTAGGATAAATGTGAGTAAATACTTTAAAGTAGTTCTATAAAAATATAAAAAGTTTAAAAAAGTTAAGTTATTGTTTATTACAAATTGCAGTTGGATCAAATTCCCGAAGTAGTAAAAAATTTATCCAATGGCAAACTTACATGGTTGGAAGTCGAAGAAAAATATCCGAAATTTGAACAACAAGAAACGACGGAAGCATAATAATACGAAGTATTTAAATTATTTGCGACATAAAATTATAAACAAATTACTATAATAGTAATTTTTATTTTATATTTATATAACGTGCATTTTATAGGCATTTACTTTTATGCTATTTTGCACAAATAATAATTAATTATTAAAACTGAGATTTTGACTTTTAGAAATCTTTGATAATTAATAATATACGAATATTGATCAACAACAATAAAAATCAATATTGAATTTAACCCCCATTCTATCAAAATCGTGCTTAAAACAAATCATCATACATCTTACACTTTTTATCCATTTCTCTTTTTCAAAATCATTGTGTATAACATCTTGAAGTTGCATATTAACGTGATAAACGTCTGAAAAGCGAAAAAAATTAATAGTTTTTGATATATCTTAATATATATTGTTATTTAATATGTATTGTTGTTTATTAAATAATTACTGCAACGACAAGATCGTATTTGACAGCACATTGCACAAAGTGTTTTCAACGTTCGAATTTCACCAATAAATTCGAAAACTCTGAGCGATGGTAAATAAAGAAATAGTCGTCTTAATTGAGTGTCCAAATTCTGTCGATTATGCCATAATTGCAGACATAGATATACTATATAAATATTAATAATGATTATTTTATTACGCATAATTATATATAATTTAATAAAAAATAATATATGGTAAATATATAAAGTAAAAATATGATAATAATAAAAAGAAATATATGTAAAAAATTAAAATATAACAAATATGAATAACAAAATTTATAAAAATATTTGAAAATAATTCAAATATGTATATTCAAATATAAATTTTGTAAAGAAAATATAGATAAGAAGAATATAATAGCAAAAATAAGAATAGAGATAGAATAAAAATATTAAAATCAGCGCCATGTTCAGAATATTGCAAAACACATGTAAAAAAGATAGAAAATAATAGGAGAAAGATAGATATAAAGTAAGAATTGGTCGTTAGCGTTATCTTTTGAATATCCAAGATATCTTTTCAAAAAAAAATAAAATAGAATAAGAATTAGCTGTCACTGCCATCTTTTAATGCTAATAACATTTAAAAGATGGCATTGATATTTAATTCTTATCTTATCTTATCCTTTTTAAAGAGATGTCTTTCGTATTCGAGAGATGGCGATGATTTCAATATTTTTATCCTATTTTTCCTTTTCTTCTTTGTTTTCTCACTTTTGTTTTAACACAAATAAAAATTAATAATAATAATAATAATAATAACGTTAAAAATAACGATAAAAAGATAAGAGATATTAGATATGAGATAAAAAAAATTATTAAAAACGTATCCTGCGTTTTAATAATGATTTATGTATTAAAATAAAATTAAAATGAAAAGAGATAATAAATTGAAAAAAATAAAATAATGGCTTTTTATAGAATAAATAATTTTGTTTTTCAATTACCTAAAGTATCTGAATACCACGTACAAAGTGTTTTAATTGTGCAATCGATATACCATGGTTGTCGAAATCTCAAATCGATACTCGTCGATAGTGCAAAAGTATGAATTGGAGTGTGTTTTGTAAAAAATTTTTTGTGAATATCGTATTCTGGTATTCCTACTGAAAAGAAAAAAAACAATTATTTTTTATATACATTTAATGTTACGTATCAATTATTGTGAAATTCATTCATACTAATAGCATATTGTACTTTCAGTACTGGTGCCCAAAAATGTGCTGCTTTCCAAGCTCTGTCTGGTATCACGACTTTTTCAACATAACCTCCATCCTCAGTTCTTTGCAAAATTTCTTCTTCTAAACATAATAGTTGTAACCAATGCCAATTTGTTCTAAGTTTTCTACAATTATCGTAAATGTGATTGATTTTCAAAATTTATTCATATATATTTATATATTTTAATAGAAAGGTCTACAGTATTCGATTAAGCGAATATATCATTACATACACATGTATGTAATAAGGTTTTATACGAAAGATTTTGAAATCGATTTTTGGGATAAGTTTTACTATATTTTTAAACTTAAAGTGATATCGTAATTTAAATTAAAACGATAAAAAGAGATTAAATACTTGGCCAAACAGACGAGTAAATCTCCTGTGGGTGTCGCTATGTATGCGTAATTTATCGACAAAGTGGTGAGAAATTCCAAACAACCGATTGCGCGAAGCCAGTCGCTTTTTTTGATTTTTTTGTTCGCATAAAATCCTGATTTGAAGTGATGAACAGTATCCACCGTGAGGTCTACCATTTTTTCAAACGCACGCCAACAATATACGTGTTTTATTGTTTTACGGGAATTGTGCAATGCCAATAATAGTCGTATACCTTCGTCTGGCGTTAATGATAAACCTTCCAGACAAATAGATCTTAATCTAGTCTGTTTACTACAATGTATGATATTACTACACGTAAAATAAATTTTTCAATAGATATTTTTTAAATGTATTAATATTAATTTACCATATAATTTTTTCCAGATGAATGATCAAATTTTTTCGATTAATTCGATCGAACGTTTGTAAACGTATTAATTGCTCCCAAACGCTGATATATTTCTTCTGTTTCTCACTGTGTACAAGTCTGTGACAATGAAAATGCATTTCTCTGTATCAGATATATCCTATAAATGATTTCTCGTATTATTGCATTTTCACCAATCGTGCATGGCGATTCACGTGTATCAAAGAAGAACAAAGAATTCAAAAGACAGATTTAATATCGTATCGCTACTTCTATACACGATTATATATATATATATATGTATGTATACATGTATGTATACATATATATGTATGTATACTCCAATTACATCGATTCTACGATCATTCAAAATTCATCGAATCAAGGATGATACGTAGGTACGTATAATATCATTTCAATGAATTAACCATTAGATTCTTACTTGGCCAACGTAACGAGGAGAGCGTGATTCACTTGTTTTTGGTACATACGCGAGTTTTTCACCGCGGTTGAGTACAAGTGCCAGTAGAAACGGGCCTGGGCATAATAATTTTAATTTTTTAATTACCGGCCACCGCATTCGTTCCCGCCGACCGACATTCGTAATTGAGTTCTAGCCGTTCGGGTTAATTGAGTTCTCGGCTTTTGAATTCGCCGGGCTTTCCTCCGCTGATATACGTACCTCCCTCGAGGGCAGGGGCAAATTCGACTCCGTCCTTGGAAACGCGGCCCTCTCGCAGTGCAGTACCATTTCCCAGTGTTTGCGATAGTCGTCTGTCGTTCTGTCGATCACGATCCACCAATCGTCCTTTCATTTTCTATTCTTACTTATTCTTATCGTTCTCTATACGTCCCGCCCTTCTTCACGCGATGCGTGAAATATTACCTGGGAAGTTGTCTAAGTAACTCTTCGACCAGAGGATCCGTTTCTGCGATGTTGTAACATTGGGAGAGCGGAGCACTGATAGATTCGAACGGTTCCTTTTCTTCGAGGCTTGTTTTTTTTTTTTATTATATACGGCAGATTAGATTTGGAGAAATTTTTCAATTTATTATTTTATTATTGTTATCATTAAGAACGTTACATTTTTGAATTTTCCTGTTCCTTCAAATTGCTTTCGCACGATGTGTAATAGGTCGATGATGAATCATTTTTACATATATCTTCCCTGTCAATGAATGAATTTTTTCCCAAAGATTAGATATTATTAGGAATGTTGGATAATTATAATACTTGTAAAATTTCTGCTTATTTTTGCAATCTACATTCGACTCGCTTGAATTACGATATTTCAAATCGTCGTTTATACAAATGTTGATCAAGGTTGAAGAATTTTGATAAACAGATCTGTTTGAAGCCATTTTTCGTTGAAAATGAAAAAAAAAAAAATAAAAAGAGAGAAAAGTTAAGGAAAGTTTTATACATAAAAAAAATAAAAGGTTAAATTATTACATCTACATTTTCAAACGTCACATAACGATTTGCAAATATTTCATACTCGAGAAACAAATGAACGTCACGCATTTACGTGAACGAATTTCTAATTTTTAACATACCGATCTGCAATGTATCTGTATTTAACTCAATGACAAATCAAAACTTTTAGGAAGGCCATCGAAGAAAGGTTTATCGACTGTGTCGGTGAGTCTGGAATATATCGTGCATTAAAGAGGACACGGGACGAATTTCGGCTGGTTTTTCTTTATCCTTTCTACCAACACAAATACACGTTCGCCGATTTCATGCAAAGATACAGAGGAGGCTGGTGATAGTAGTAACCCCTTATTTCTCACCGAGAGAAGGGTATCCATTTAATCGAGTATCGGGCAAAGTGCAGGTATTTCGCAGACTTCTTTCTTTCAAATCTCGAGGACCACCCGTGAGTATTTACAAGCAAATGCTTAAAAACGAGGGAGCGGAAATCATTTCCCTGCACTTCTCCGCGCACAAAGGATCTCTCTATTTGGGCGAGCGTTGCATTGTTTTAAAGGTATTTTAAAGGTACTGAGAAAGGAATAGAGAGGGATAAAAGGATAGGAGAGAGAAAAAGGCGAGGACCGAAGCCACGAGTTCGTGGGTGCGGTTCCAATTATCCACAGTGGCTCTCAGAGAGAGAGAGAGAGAGGAAAAAGGACCAACGCAGCCTCCCCCCCCTCCCCTTGGGCCGCAAAAAAGGGTGGGGTCCTTTTACGATTCTCCTTTCTTCCTCTTTGTTCGTTCAACCCTCCCAGAGAAGTACGTATCGAATCGATTCTCCTCGACTCGTTTGCAACCCGTCCGCCGAGTGACACACGCGGTTGTCGTGCATTATCATTTCTTATTCCCACGGAGAATATTCCGCGTATCTCAATTCTGTTACGAGACACCGATCTAATTTTATACGACGATGAAACAAAGGATACGCAAACAAAGGGAACGAGAACGATTTCGTCTCTTTCTGGGTTAAGACAACATCGTTCCTCGTCTCTTCCTTCTTTTTTTTTTTTTTTCGTTCATATTATAACGATGTCGAGCTTCGTTCGCTAGCGTATCAGAAGAGAATCGTTTCGTCTCTTCTTCTTCTTCTTTTTTTTTTTTTTAACCCATTGATGCAAACGTTCGCCATCCCATTTCATCGATCGTTCGTCTGAAAAATAACTCGGCCAAAACGAAAAAAAAAAAAAAAAAAATTTACTATTTGCGCCCGCGATGTTACCGTTAAACGGGTCGTCTTCGTGATTCGCAAACGTTGGTTGGTTGGTTTCGTGGAAACGTTTAGTGGTACGTGGTTAAAAGACTCGGGCAACCTCTGGTTCGTAAACGAAAAGTCACTCGACGAGAGTGGCGGACATGGTTCGGAGCCGCTCTACAGTTACAGGGTGCAGCTACCTGCGTAGGTGAGCGAGGGATCCACAGACGTAGGATTTAAAAAAAAAAAAAGAGAAAGAAAAAGAAAGAAAGAAAATCACACCGTTGGCCAGCCACTTCTTGGCTGACTTGGCAAATTAGTTTGCCAGTATTGTATATAGGAATTTACAATTACTTACCACGTACACAGCTACTACTGTTCGTCATTCGCGTGTCTTTAATCGTCCTTAACTCGTATCAACGAGAGGTGTACGAGAGGTTTTACTTTTGAAAAAATGTTTCAACACGAGTTAAACGTATGGAGGAAAAAGGAGAAGGAGGAGGAGGAGGAGGAGGAAAATTTATGAAAATTAAAGAAGACCGCTTATCTTAACGAGCATTATCTACCGATGAATTATACTAAATTTCAGTCTCCTCGACAGAGCAGCTGTACACACAGCTAGCGTGCAAACGGCATTTTCATCCACCGCGTGAACAACGTTATCTACCAATGAACATTTCACGTATTACAAGCCGATAACTTTAATCGGAGCAAAAACGACCCCCACAGCTTCAAACTTGGCAATGGATAGCATGTTTCGAGCACGGTTAACGTAACGTGGTCGCGTGATCGCGAGTAACACGTCAGATATGCTGCTCGATGCTTAATCCCTTTCCAGGGGCGAAAAGGGTAGGAAAAAAGGAAAAAAAGAAAAAGGAAAGAAAGAAAGAAAAAAAAAAGGAAAAGAAAAGAAGAGAAGATACGTTATCCGTTGCCTTACAGCGGTGGCAATTAAAAGTCTCTTCCTAGACGCAGTCTCACGAGAAGACGCATTTAACCGTTCCCTTGGTTTACCGGGCCGCCCCGTGCGATAATAAACCAAGGTACGATAACGACCAAGGTAAATTGTATCGCGACCGTTTTACGCTTTCATTTGCATAAATATTCGTCCGTGTTATACGCGATCTGTTATACGAGTTCGAGAGCCACGATCACACCAATACGTCCGTTCCCTTACAATTTATTCGGTGCACCGGCCCACTTTGTCTCGTTTTTTTTACCCCCTCGCCATATTGCGTCATCACGTTCGCGCCCCGTCACTTTGTGTAGGATTTTACGAGCTGTTTCTAAACTTGCTCCATCCGGTTTTGCCCATCCCTCTGTAAAAAACTATTAAACATCTCGGCTCATTAAGTGCATTCGCTTGTACAAGGTTATCGAATAAATTGCCGATAAGATGATACAGGTAATTAATGACGGTGTATACCTTGTTATAAATTGTAAATTGCTGATTTAATCCTTACCATTTCCATCCCTCCCGTTCTTCCCGTCGCCGTGCGATTCGAATTGCGCGCGCAAACGAATTATTTTATTTGGTCTTTTTCGTTTTTTTTTTTTTTTTTTTTTCGAATTGGCCGAAAAAAGAATCACGCGGTTGACAATGATGTTTCGTAGCCGTTAACAAAGTTCCAACTTACCAACTACAAAGTCGTCCCGTGTCCCTAAACGAGCTCGACACATTCCAGAAATTTTATCGCGCGCTCGAGAGAAGCATCTTGTTCGCCCGTGTCTCTGTTCGACAGTTTTTCACCTCGTTCTCTTCTTTCTTCCTCTTCCTCCTCCTCCTCCTCCTCCTCTTCTTCCTCTTCTTTTTCTTTTCTCCATCTCGAAACCCTCTCTGGGAACAGGATTCGAACGGCGGGGTGCGGATTTATAGGCTTTAATTAAACGCTATTCATTAAGGTTGGTCGCGCGACTTGGACTTGCCGAAATTGGCTCCAATGTCCCCGAAAAGCACCGATTAGCTATCTCTTTAGACCACACACAGCCAGAGTTGATCTCTCGTCCGTGTGCGCACACATCGACGAGGTGCGCGCGAATTTTTTCGAACACGATTTTTATCCTTTCTTCCTTGATATAACGGGGAGAGATCGTTTAACCCTCTTCTTAACCGGGCAAAGAAAAATCCCCTTAACCGTCGTTATTCAATTTTAGATCGGCCATTTTTTTGCTTCTTCTTCTTCTTCTTCTCTCCGCCAAGACGTATTATCGTTTCGTTCGATATTCCACCCCGTTTATAACTTCTCAAAAAGCGGGCTCGATGAAGCGGTCTGATTAGGCGGCTTGATTTATCTTCCTCCGGCGAGAAGAGGAAGGCCGAGTATAGTGGTGCACGCTCGCCAAGGTGCTCCACTCTCTCTTTCCCGAGCGCAATCTCGTTAAAATTTATTCATGATTCGGTCGGTCGCATCCTCGGCAGACGGAGACCCCACCGGGGACTGGTCCGACTGGTCCGTTCCGCGGTCCAAATATTCGACGGCCTATTTTCCGCGTAATGCGATACGGGCTTAATACCCACTCCTCCTCCTCTCGAACCGGTCGCGAGCTTTGATTTATCGACCGTCGGTATCGACTTTGTTCCCTCGGTTAATCCCGATAGTCGAGGATTGGCGCGTCGGTTGTTTGGCGCGCCACCTCTCTCTCTCTCTCTCTCATTGTCTCGCCGACAGGACAGCGTCACTATGAATCTTAAACACGGTTAATGGTAAAATTAGGGTTATCGGTAACGACGCTTGGATGTTCGAGGAAGAACGATCTTCCCTCGACGATCGAGGGAACAAGTGGAGGGGAATTGAACAAGTAATTTTCTTCTTCGATAGTCCGTGAAAAAGAATACGAGGGGGAGGGATGAAGGAACGGTTGGTGGGTTTCGAGGGAGTGGTCGAAACGAGATTCGGGGCGGGAAGGGGGGGGGAGGGGGAGGGAATTAATCGCGGTGAGTCGGGAAATCCGTTGTCGGATTTTTATTCGGATTTTGTTTCGCCTTCCAGGCCAGGTTTCGTGTACTTCAGGAGTGATGCGCTGGCACCTTGTCAGACTTGTAGGCGTTTCGCCTGCCTCGTTTCATACCTTCAACTTGTACAATGGGGTACAACGACGTGGAGAAGGAGGGAAGGAGCATGCTCGCCCACCTCCGAAACTAATAAGTATTGTCCATCAGCCGCATTGTTTCGATGCCCACGTAACCCAGCCAACACGTCCCGAACAAGTTACAGTTTAAAGTGGTCGGGTCGTTAGTTAGGCCACGAGGGTGACCACTCGCTTCGTTAGACCGCGCGCATTCGGCCCCCTTCCTTCCTTCCTTCCTTCCTTCCTTCCTTCCCCTCCTCTCGGGGGAGGAACGCCGTTCCACGAATCTCGATTCGAGCGAGGATCCCTCGACTCTTTTCTCCAATAATTTATCGCACGGATCGGATTTTCTTCCGATCACGATTTCACGACCGTGACCATTTCCCCGATCCTACGAACCCACGATCCTATTGTTGTCTACTTCTTATCCTGCCTTACTGCCGCTTACTCTGCACGACAATAACGCATGGAATATGAAAAGAGTGGTTTTATCACCAAGTGCGATCGTTTCTGTATCACGAAACACGCGTATCTTTCAAATTTTTCCCCTCCTTGTTCGTTGTCGTAAATCGAACGAATAAAATACACCATTTTTTCACGATTAATTCCTCCTCCTAAATAAGAAACACGAATATATTTCTCTCTCGGGGAAACGAGAGTCCCTTCTCCCACACGAACGTACGATGCTTCTCGAGGCGGGGGATATTCGGAATCGTAGTTAGTCCTATCGTTGCTCGTGTCCAAACGATCGTCCTCTCTCCCCCCCTCCCCCCTCCTTTTCCATCCAGAGGCCTATATTTACATAACACTCGTAAGCGCCACCGTTAAACCCCTTCCCTGTTTAAAATTTAACTACCACTTGGAGAAATCATATTAACCAAATACTGCAGCCGTTATGCTTGGAAATCCCGACGCGATGGAAATAAATTACCGAGCCACCCTTGGAACCCCGAGGCTGAACGTAAGGCAACGATCGTTCCTTTCCTCGTCACCAGACCCACCGCGTATTCCCATTCTTCACGGGATTTCTATCCCCTTCTCATCCTTCGCCTCTACTCGAAAATTCCATTGTTCGTAGCCATCGATTCGCTATATGTATGGAAATTCTAATCCTCCAATCTCTCCTTCTCCGATCGCCGGGAAAAAGAAACTAGCAATAATAATAGCGCAGAACCAGAAGGGGAGATAACAAGGAGAAAACGCGTACCAATTGACGTAGCAACAGTGGGGGAGGGGATCGGACTTGCCAGCTTTGTCTGAACATTGTTTTCGCGATAAATTCGAAAAGCGTTGTAGAAAGTTATCGGTTTATAAATTTCGCTGCCGTGTTGCGAGCCCTGTGCCGAAAAAGAAAAGAAAAAAGGGAAAACAGGAATGCGACACCGAGCGAGGGGATAGACACCCGTCCCCTCCTCCTCCTTCTCTCGTACGTGTACGAAATAAATTGGCCTTTATATTAGCACAAGTCGTGGCATAAATCCCGCTTCTCATTGTATCGGCCCCCGTGGGTGGACGACGCTGCACGTGGGCAAAATCCCTCGAGAGTGGCGCGCGAACGTGGGGGTGGAGAGAAAGAGAGAGAGAGAGAGAGAGAGGTTGAAAGTCATCTCGAGTCCAAGTATCTCCGATGAAACTCGTCAGGACGAGACGCACGTGTTCCGCACAGGCCGATAAAATAAATTCGTTTAAAGCGGGAATCCGGGGTTACGATTCCTCTTTGCTCCGCACGCGGCCTATTTTATAGAGCTGGCTCGCGATAAAAGGCCCACGCTCGAGCGTGGAAAATAAGAAATCGGCGGGTAAAACGGCGGCTCACCCGTGTATCCTGGCAGGTGCGTCCACGATACCGATCGTTCGCATTTCACACCGTTCCGTTCACTCCTCATCCTGGAATCATCCGGGACGAGGAGATAGCCGGGAGAGGAATCGCGCGCAATCTGCGATAAAACGGGAGGCTCGATGGAATGGAAATTTCTGAAATTCCAATCCCGTCTCTCGTATTAAAATATCTCACCGCGTCTCGTCCCCTCGATGACGAGGAGTTCGTTGGCGCGTGGAAAATTGCGATTTAAAAGGCGCGGTTGAAGGTGGCGTTGATGCGCCTCACACGGCGTTCCCCGCCCCTGATGTATGCAACTGTGCGTGACGGTAGGCGGTGATGCACCTCGTCCACGCACGACACGCCGCGGAGAGGCTGCCGATTTATATCCCAACGATGAATCGCGCTTGCTGTGCGAATCGGTGGGGCGGAGAGGAGGGTGCCGGGGTTTAGAAGAGGCTCGTTGTGTTGCTGTTGGACGGTACAATGGGGCGGCGTGGAGAAGAGAAGATATTTAAAGCCGGGCGTTGATACGACGATTTATGAAAATCTTCTCTCTCTAACTGCTTTATAAATTGTGCTTATTATCGAGTATTTATTCCTCGATTCGATCTCCTCTCTGCGCGAGAGGGCGCGTGGTTTCTAATCCTTTCGCGGGGTGAGGGGGCGTTTATCGCTCACCAACTGGTTAATACGACGAGCTTAACTTAACGAATCGACGAGATTTACGAAACGCGATCGTATTTCTTCGTCAAATCGAGGCATCGATCGTATCATATTCGTCTCCGTTCCTTTATTAGTGTATTAATAATGTTCCGCTCTCGATATCCACTCCCCCGTTTTCCATTTCGCGAGGAGTTTTAAAAGGATGTATCCGTATATGGATGGGGACGGGAATCGCGCATTACCACGAAGTAATTACGCATTTTCTCGTCACTCGCGGCCGTGTTGTGACTGTTCCCTCGC